TTGGGGGGGGATCTATCCCCCATATCCCCCCCCGTGAGAACGCCCATGGCTCTAAGGATCCATATAATTCAGAGACCATTCCTATTTAAATATCAACTTAATGAAGTTATTTATTTACTATATAAAACCTTTCTAACACTTCGTATCAAAAAACAGTCATACAGCACATTTATATAGTAGGTACCAGGTACCTATCAAAAGATTTCAAAAGAACTGAAGCGTAAAATTTTGTCACAGATTTTTCATCGGCATCGTCAATGATAGTATGTATAGCTTTTTTAATTTCATTCCACGGAGTATATAAAGATCGTACCTACCTTGCTGACCATCGAGTATGAGACAAACTTTTTACACTCTTAATGCCGGGTTGCATGAAACCGAACTTTAAATTTATTTAATGAACAGTTTTAACGAGCCGTTAAATATTTTTACAGAAGCGTTTGGGTTGCACAAATCGTACAATAAAAAATATTGGTATAAACATGATACCGAGGTTAGTGTAGAAATTTAAGTTTATCACAGAAAAAGTGATAAAATCCTATGATCTAGATACTGTATCAACAGCTGTTTGAACTTTTAATTTTGAATATGTATAATAACAATAATTACTAAATTCTACAAATTGTGAATTTGTAGTCTACTAGTCTGTACTTAATCTTTCTTCGGCGTTTTCGGTTCTGTTCATCAAATTCCTCCAAAGGATTTGATCGATCTCTAAATAACCTCGGTCTAGGTAAATGACACAAAATACCCAAAACCAATTCATCATCGGAAATCGATAAACTTGAATCAGAACTCGACATTTTTACTATTTTCGGTTATAGCTTATAAGTATTAAGAAAAAAATTTAGTAAGTACGACCAACTACAGGGTAGGTATAGTGACGACGTACTACTGACACCTGAATACGTATGCGTGATAACTGATAACTGTAGGATTATCGAATGATTAAAATTTAAAGAGCCGAAATCGGCCCATTAGTTTAATGAGCTGGTAACCTATATTTTAACGGCCCAATAAAACTATTGAACGTTTAAAGATTGTTTAACAGATGATTAAAATTTTAATCATTCGTTATCGCGCTAACGGCTCGTTAAACATTTAACGGGCGTTCATGCAACCCGGCATGACTTATTAAATAAAATAATAAAATTTCCCAATAATGGGTAGATGCTGTGAAAAATGTGAATAAATCTTGTAAAAGTCTAAAATATATGTTGTCCATTTTTCACAGCAATCCGTGGTAAATATCCCCAAAAGGTTTAGAGAATGTACTGAGCAAGGGATATAAATGGCAAGCGAAATTACGTTTTTAATTCTGGCTTGAAGGCCAGCGTATTTACCAGACATGTTACTGGTACTATCGTAAGATTGCCAGCTGCAGTTTTTAATATTGGAATTATATTGATTAAGTGAATCAAAAACTGCATTAGCAAGTTGTTCAGATTTATGCCCAGTATTGGTAATACACTTTAAAAATTATTCTACATGAGTACCTATCATATTTTGAAAGGTATCTTATGATAAAAGACAATTGATCAATAATAGGGATGCGTCGGGCGTTCAATCAACGCTGATCGAAAAATACTTTGAAACTTTGACTTCTTTAACTATTTGTTTTGTAATTTGTTCTGCTATAATTTGTATAATCTCTCCGAGTATCTGTGAAGATAGATATGATGTATTACCACTACCGATTTTACTGTAATTCTGCTAAAAGCTCTAAGTCATAATGATTCCTCTATTCTACGACCCAAATTATTCTTCACTGCCTCTCAGTGGTAACCCTCAAGTTACTAAAGAACATACATCAGCAACTACTATTTTTAAAATATTTCTCCAATATTTGGTTTCTTCATCTATACGATTTCTTGGTTTATTCTACCTGTCAGTTCCCCCCTTTCGATTAATAATAATGCAAGTATATGCAACTGTTGAAGTTTTATAGAGGATAGAATTTTTGTGCTTGTTTACTTTTCGTACAGCATTATTCCAATTGTTAAAACCAACAGTTACTAATGTTGATAGATTTGTTTTTCCAAAGAGTCAACATGGTGCTAACACTTTTTTTTTTCAAAAAAAATCGAAATTCGACATAGGGCATTTCCCCAGCCCCGCCGAAATTTTGATATAAAAAAAACTAAATCACTAAAAAACCAATAAAAACTGGCTACAAACAAATGGTAAAAAAAAAACAAAATTCAAAATTAAGGGGTTGCTCCTCCACCGAAATTTTGATTAAAAAAGAACTAAACATCTACAAAAAAAAAAATTACATTACAAACTAATACAAACCGGCTGAAAACGAATGGTTACGAAAAAATTCGAAATTCAAAATATTGGGGACTGGTGAAATGTACCTCACAGAGTTAACCAATGAGTCTAATTGTCTAATTCATGGATTTGTTTAATATGTTTTTTAAATATAAATATATTCAATATTATATTATAGTACTAACTTACTCAATTACTTAAATGCATAAAATATTTATATGGTTTTTTTTCAATTTCTTACACATTTCCACCCCAACAATTTGCAGCCCTATCCACGGGAACCTAAGTTCTAGGCTTAATCCGGCCTTGCTTTAGTGGTACTCAAAAAAAAAATATTGATCCAACTAGTGTAATACCTGATAAAAATCCCGGACCCAACTAATATATACATTTTTACCCACATTTTTAATTCAGGACCCAACTCGAATGCAGTATCCATAGCCCATAGGACTATACCATTTTCTCTTTAAGTTACCCTACTGTAGATCTATAAACTAATGAACAGTACTAGATAAAGAAACCATTGGACGAGATAGCCGTGAGAGAAAGAACTATGTGTTTGCCGTTTGGGAATACACCTACAACCACTGAACCACAGAACAATATAGAACCGACACTCGATCGGTTACTGTAACCGTAGGGTATGAAGTATATTGGACTCTAAAAGTTGACCGTATCCGTAATCTGATGGCAACTTGTATCTCGATTTGATACGAAATTATAAAATCGGAAACAATCCTTTGACAATTGTCCGTTAACGGACGACGACTTTTTACTTAACGTCGTCTCAGAATGAAAAGGTTCTAACGTAATTTTTGTAATCGTTCAGGAGAACGTTTTTAAGTTAGCCCGTACCTATCATTCACGTATGAATTAGAACCTTTTCATTCCCTGTATCTCATTGAATAATTAACGGATCGATACGATTTCAGGATTGATTATACAACAAAAAATATTCAATAATAATATGCAAAAAACCTATTTTTCAAAAAAATTGATTTAGATCCTTTTCATTCTGAGATAGTGAATAGTTCGAGTAGCTGGCCCCGAATTTCATTATCTTACGAGATTAATATTAATTATCATCATGCAAGCCTAGTACATCAGACACTATTCATGTGCACTAATTCAACTATATACTAGGTACTATGCAAGTACAGTCAGAGTGAATTCGAATGGTAACAAATATGCATTTTTTACAAGTATATTTTTTATAAGCAAGGTAGGTAACAGATAACAGATGATGAAAAAATGACAAATAATGACATCATAAATATCAAACAATGAAAGTAAAATGAAACTAGAGTAAAAATAATTGTCATGTCAGATATAATTAATTATCATTAAAATAGATAAAGGAGGTGTTGTGAGGTCCAAAACCCCACGGGTTGCTTGACAGGAACAACGATGCCCCACGGTTTTAGAGCTAATTGCAACCCTTGGCAGTCGAATAGTTCACAATTAACCACTGTTGCATACTGATACATACATACATACATACAATCATGCATTACGCATATGGCATATACCTACTATACAATCCAATATAGATCCTATCATAAAATATCACTCTATGAATTACCACGGTGATGTAAAATATAATCTTAAGCCGGGTTCACAAATACGTAACTACTATCTATAGTACGATGTCTATCGAAACGGCAAATTAAGTTGAGGAGATGAAAAAAATGTTCTGTGTAACCACATGAAAATAGGATTGGGAAGTAAGCTTTTTTTCTGGGCAAAATAAAATATTTTCCATTTGCCTGTTGGGGGGCCCTTTTTTCCAAATCGCGAACTGGGCCTTTTCGAGCCAGTCCGATACTGGCAAGGCCCCATAAAGCGCGGGGCCGCATAAAGCGCGAGGCCTTAGGCGGGTGCCTAAGGTTTTCCCCTCCCCCCTTCTGACGGCCATAGTGGACAGTATGTTGTCGTCCGTTCCATCCATTCCGTTAAATATATACAGGTTAGGTACTCAACGAAACTTACTTTTTGGTGCGCTTAAAATTAACGACCTTGTCATAGCAAGAATAACAGTTAGCGCTTTTGAATTATAGTGATTTATCTTGGTACTACAAAATATATCAATATAGATATACAATATTATATATTGGAGCGCTAGTAGTTATTCTACTAGTGCTCCATCTGTTACATCTGTTACATCGTTGATCAGCTGTTTGAAAACAACATTTTGGCGCGCCACTTTTGTTGTGTATGTGCCATAGGGTCGTCGAGTAACCTGTAAATCTTTAATCGTGCCCGCCAACAATGGACATTGCCACCGCTTAACAAATGAACACAATATTGGTAACTGACTGTGGTACGCTCACGGACAGGCATTTATCTTAGTCTCATTATTATTATGTTATCAAAATTAATTCGTTGACTTAATAAAATGCTTTAATCAAGGTAGGATATATATACCTTGGCTAATACTGTTATATTATATTTTTATTCATACATTATAAATAATAAGCTGACATAACCTCTTCAACCGTCACTCACCATAATACTATAATACTCACAACTTAGTACTATACTAGTATAATAATATTCACTGACACTGAATATCGCTTTTGGTGACCAATGTTCAAGCATAATTTTCTAATGATTTAATTTTTTTTGATTACAGACAAATTACCGATTTTTAAGATCTAACTATTGAGTTTAGACATAAGTTTATGTAGTTCATGTTTTAAACACGTTTCATATTTGCGCAGTTCAATATGTCAGACCTGAAGACTAACGACAATTTCAAGTTTTGTGTTATAGTATCTGATGAAAATCCAGATAAAAAATTTATATTACTGGATAATGAACCTTTAATATTGGGAAAAAAACAACAAACAGGAACAGTCAATCCTAAGATGTCGAAAAATCAAAGTAAATAAAATATTATATCAATACATTGTCCATAAAAATTGCGTTTATTTGTGTTAAATGTTTACCAACTATACTAAAGTATGGTTCAATTTGTTTTTTCCTTTCCGATGATCATATAGAGACATAATTAAGTAGCTATATTATATACCTAAATGTGGCAGCGATGTTGTCGACTGGTGTATATGTTGTTCAGATTTCTAGAATATAGTTACAATACCAACAAAATTAAATCATAACATATAATATATGTTGGTATATTTTTGTCAATGGAATTGGTGCTATATTATTTTCTTCACACAAATATTGTTTAAGTTTATTTTAGCACCTTCCTATACAAAAAACTTTTCTATTTTACCGGACACTCTTTTATTGTATATTTTTTTGTTGTAACATAATATGTAGTTAGCATGCTGAAAACAATGACTAAGTCAGACTTAGTTTTAAAAGTTGTAGCTGATTTAAATTTATAGTATTTTCTTATACACCCGACGTGTTCATTCGCTCACTGGGCTTGCTCGGACAATTAAAATTAATTGAAAACGTCCCTCAACTTATTATGTAAAACCACTTTGAGTGAGTTTCAAACTTCAAATCTAATTCTGACCGCCATATTTTGACTTCACTATTGTTTTCAGCATGCTAAACTAAATATGTTAAAACAAAAAAATTTCGAAAATGGAGTGCCTGGTAAAACAGAATTATACCTTATATACCTACTACAGTTATTTTTACTGCTTTATAAATATTTTATCATACCTACTTTATAAGATGTTTTTAATGTTGAAAACCTAGTTAAAAATATTTTGATTTTGATCATAAAATTGTATCGCTATAACACATATTATTTTTAGAATAAAATTAAATCATAGACTAAAATTGCATGTTTGAATATATTATATAATCTTAGTTCTTGATTTAAATAACTATCATTTATAAATTTATTTTTTTTAGTGAAAATTATAGCTGAATATTCTACGTCTAGAGTATGGGTTCAACAATTAGGTACAAGTAGGTCTGCTGTTAATAATGAAACTATGACAAAAGGAGAAAAGAGACTTTTAAGTTACGGAGACAAAATATCATTGTTATATAAAACTAATCACACTTATCATTTGGATTTTTTAACACCCAATTATGGTATAGACTACGACAAAAGGAACACTCTTTCTTTAAATGAAGAAATTATACCTGAAATACCTGAAATACCTGAAATACCTCTCTCAAATTCTACATTGTTATGGGATAATAGAGATGATACATTGTTAGTGTTTAATAGTCCAAATATCATTCATAAAGATAAGGTAAATATTAATTAATTAAAACTGTTTATTTAAGCCTTAAGCTTTTTATTTTAGTTTTTTATATGATATTTAAGATAGCAATCTTTGAAATGACGGTTCTGTCTGGTAAAGCTTTCCCTGATGATGAAGATAACTGGCCAATGTGTAAAGCTGAAGTTATTAGATCTATTGAAAAATTGTCAGATGATGGTTACAAAATAGTGCTGTTTACTTATCAAGGAGGTATTGTTTTTAGTATGGAAAAGAAAAACACATTTCAAAAAAAAATTGAAAATATCCCTAAATTGATTAAAACACCAGTTCAAGTATTTATAGCCACCCGAAAAGATATATACAAACTACCTGCACCAGGAATGTGGAATATTTTGGTCTCTGATGTAAGGTTATTGTTTTTTATTTAACTTAATAAATCTTATTTATATACCTGTTCTTATTTTAGTTCAATGGAGGTATATCAGTTGACATGGAGAAGAGTTTTTTTTGTGGTGGTAATGCAGGTCGGCTTGATGGTTTTGATTCAGATGATATACCAATTCAAAAAGACCCCTCATGTTGTGACCGTTTATTTGCCATGAATATAGGTCTCAAATTTTATACTCCCGAACAATACTTTTTGAATGACTCTACTCCACAAATTATTGCATCACGGTTCAATCCAAAGTACATTTCATCTAATATCTGTTACACAAATTTATCATCCAAAGTATTGTTTTCTTCAAAAAGAGAAGTAAGTCCTCTTCAATATACAATTTATAATTTTAATAATAATTCAAATTAATTTTTAGATGATCATAATGGTTGGTTGTCCTGGTTCAGGAAAAAGTTATTTTGCAGCTAATAAATTAATCTGTCATGATAATATGAAAATAATTAACAGAGATATACTAGGTTCATGGCAAAAGTGTTTTGCTAAGATTACCAAGTACTTAAGAAAAGGTAGTTTGAGTGTATTGATTGACAATAGACATCCGGATGTAGCATCAAGAAAACAGTTCATCGAAATAGCTAAAAATTTAAAAGTCCCATGCAGAGTGTTTTTGATGAAAGTTTCCAAAGAACATGCAAAACATAATAACAAAGTAAGCCTAAAAACAATAACTTTTACATTTTAAATACAGTGAAAAATCTCTAGAAATTTTTTACTATCAAGTTTTTGATAATAATAACACAATTTTTAACTTGACATATGTATTTACAAGTTAAATAATAAACCTACTACCTTGTATTTTAGGTATCTAAGAAAATATTATTTAAAATAGAAGGTATGGCATCTTTGTTCAAAATTGTTTTTTACTTCTGAATACTTGAAATCAGGAATAAAATGTTTTTTTACAAGCTTTTCAGACTTAGACTTTAGACTTAGACTTAGACTTTAAATAGTAAACATTTAAAAGTATTTTTTTTTTGTTATTGTATGTGACTAATTTTTATTATTTTTTTTTAAATCTGGTAAAATAAGGAAATCGGTAATTTTTAATAACACCAGATTTTTTGAAGAAATCAATTTTGTTTTTTTGGTTTATCTCAAAAACAAAAAACTGCAGTTACTTGAATTTTACACCAAATGTTTATATTATCATTTTTTGTTAATTGACTCTTTTTGAACTATTTATAGATATTTTCAAATTTCAATTGTTTTTTAAATATGGACAAAATTAGATATTTTAACAAAGAATAAAAATGTAATTATTTTTTTTTGTAATTTGAATTATTCGTGGGTTTATGTAGATACATTTTTATTTACTCATTGGCATTTTAAAATGTTATGTTTTTTGCATACATTTATTAAATCTAATCTATTGTTACCATTAATAGTAAAATAAATTACTTAAATAGTAATTGTCTCGTAATATATAAAATTTATGAATTGATTGGCAACTTTATATCATGGAGCAAATTATAATTTGTTTAGAATTTACTTAAATAAAAAAAAAATGAATTGATTATGTTACTTTATAATAAAATATTGTCAATGGGTCAATAGGTAGTAATTTAACTTCTTAATTCACCCTTGGTTTTCACTGTAGATAAAATATTATTTAGAGCCTGTATAATTGTATCACACAAATTTTGAAAATTATACATTTAAATGCATGCATTATATTATAAATTATAATATACTATTTAAAGTTATATTTATTCTTTACATCACTATGTTTTTGTGTATTGTTTTTTTAACAATTATCTTTTCACACTTTTTGCAAATATAAGTACTACCAATTTCTATTATTTAATTTTGTTTTGATATTTTGTTTTATAGTTTCGAGAATTAACTGATGAACTACACACAAAAGTATCGGAACGCGAGATTGATTTATACTTGTAAGTATAAGATAAATACTCTTAAATACCATGTTATTTATAATAAAGATGTATGTCTTATAGGTATACATTAAAAAATTATTTACTCAGATAAATCTTAATTTCTAATGTAGTGGATTCATATTGAATTATTATAGTATTTGGATCGTAGTCCCCTTTAACAACTTGTAATTTAAGACAAATTTAACTTACAATTAAACATCTGATTGTGAAACATATTTTAATCTAACAATAATTATATGTTTTCCTAATATCTATGTAAGAAACTCTTATTGACCAGTTTTCGGAAAACTTCAATCAGTCATTTAGTTTTAATCAAATATTAGCCACTTATTTTGCATTTTGCAAATAGCTAACTTATAACATATTGGAATGTTTTTTATTTCAAGAGGAGTCATATGAACTAATTTAAATTTGATTAGTAAGGAAAACTATAATATATGCAAAGCTGGGTATTAACGAGTTAAAAAGTTAAAGTTCAGTTAATTTTATTTAAACTTTTTAACTTAACTAGTCACTCTTGGCTTTTCATTAACTTACTAAATTCCTTTTTTAATTAACGTGAAATGAACAAATTAATTTTTTATTTTAAGAAATAAGTTAAGTTAATTTATTTTGTTTTTAATTTAATTATATTTCGCTATTTCAGTCTATTTCGTTTTCAGGTCAACAATTTAAAAAAAAAATCATAATATCTAATTGATATAATATAACTTCTTACTATTATTTCATAATTATAAGTATTCATGAATAATTAATTAGTAGCTTTTTTGTAAATTAATTTGTTTTTGGGATAAGCTGTTCAGCGGTACATGCCTCAAATCAATCATCACTGTAGTATATTATGTTATGATTATTTAAAAAGTTAAATTAGTGTTTTTATTATTTTAGTATGTATTATTATTTTCAGTTCAAAATTCCAAAAACCAACCAAAAAAGAAGGCATTAAAGAAATAGTTCCAATCAACTTTGTTCCTCACTTTAAAGATCCCAATCATGAAAAGCTGTACAAAATGTTCTTGCTTTGATATATTTCTTTTTAAAATTTTTGTAACCAAAATGTAATTATTTAAAAATTTTTTTATTTATATAGAATCCAATAAGATATAACAATATCATGTTATTTTAAGTATTATATCAAAGGCTATATAAAATGTTCTCGTTTGTTATAGCCATTTTTTAATTGTTAAAACCTAACTGTAATTATTTTAAAAGTGTTTTGATTTATACAGAATCCTATTAGTCATAAATAATAAACATATTATAATATATTTTAAGAATTAGTTCATAACAAGTTGTTTTTGCTTTTTATTAGTCAATTTTACTACTTTACATTGTTAAAACCAAAGTGTAATTATTTTAAAAATGTTTTGATTTATACGGTATTCTATTAGTCTTAAAAATATTATGTTATTTTTAGAATATATGTTCATAACAAATTTTTATCAATTTATAAATAACTTTTTGAATTTTAATCATATAAGGAAAACAGATGTTTTATAATTGACAACAGAATTGTTTTCAGTCTATTGCTAATTTTTTGTATAATTAATATAATTAATACATTAATTAATACTAATAAAATACAGTGAAACATTTGAATAACTCTTTAAATATTTTATTATTTTTTAAATTTGAAATTATTAGGAATTTAGAAAGATTCACTGCGGTATATATCAAATTTGATTCTTCACAAATTTGATTACTATATCAAATAATCAAATTAAACTTCTGATGTCGCTAAAATTTCTACTGGCAGGAGTGGGGAATACATAATTAATAGAGCTGATATTATTTTGCTGACCAATGATAACCACAAATAATTTAATTTTAAATAGAGAAAACATTTTAATACTACATTCACTAATTTTATTGAATGAGAGTTCTTGAAATAGTTTGTTTTCTATGTTAAGTTAACATTGTTAAAAATGTCCACTGCATTTAAATGCTAAGAAGTGATCTCAATTCTCAAGTAATTCTTGATGTGTTTCAAAACTGAATAAGAACATTATTTACACGTTACTTTTTTCTTCTAATAATGCATTTATTATCAATTCTTTTTGACACCTGTATTTCGAATTGATCAAGCATATACAGAGAGTTAAAACGATTTTGAACCATTGTATAAACTACATGTTCTTAAATCTTAACTTCATGCCTCCCCGACATTTATTTTGTTTATATTTTTGCACAAATAATCTCGTCATGGATTGTTTCTGAACGATAACCTAATCGTTAATTTTGGTAAGGTCAAATCATCGAATTCACAGTTTCACACATATTACGAGTCATACCATAGTCTTAACAGTGAATTATACGATGATATTATATTGATTGTTGATTAAGAATTATGATAAAAGATAAAAACAAATAATAAATGTAAAATTTACATATTTACATATTATTTAATAGTAATAGGCATGCCGTGTCCGTATGTAAGCGAATCAACTGTTGAAAGGCCCTATACGGATTAATATTACATTATAATAGGTACTCTAAGTGGACCACTCTTATTAAGTAGCACTGTAGCAGTAATGGACTATATTATTGACCCAGGGCCGTATTTGAACATTTTACGCCCAGGGAAACATATTTTTCAGCCCCCAAAAAGTTATTTCTTAAAATGTAAGGTACCTACCCATTATTTTTGGTCATAATTTATGACTTATAAATGTTGTAAGATTTCGAACATTTTTTTTTTGGAAACCTTTGTTTTTGTGATGAATTTGCGAATTCCCATCTATTGAGGTTTTGTTTTTATTAAATTTCTTTATTAACAATATAATAATATACAGTAAGTACAATAGGCAATTTCTGATATCACTAAAATTATAAGGATAAAAAACTCAAATTTACAAAAAAAAAAATCAAAAATGTTATTTTTGGTATTTTAATAATAAGATTCCAAGGTTTTCAAGTTTTTTTAATGTTATTACTTCTACTGAAAATTTGACCGACTTTTTTTTATAGGTAGGTACTATCATTAAGCGTAGAAAACACGAATTTTGAAGAAAAAAATTCACGAAAATCGATTTGCAGCTAAGCTGCATTCCTTCCAATATTTCATATTTTCATTTATTAGTTATCTCTTAAATCTCTAGGAAAACCAATGTTAAATAAACATATTTTAGTTTTTATAAACTAAAGTATAAGTAAAATAAAAATGAATAAAATATTACAATGATTTATTTATGAGCGTTTAATTTTCTAATCTTACTGTAAGAAAAATTATTGCACATATTAATATGAAAGAATCTAGTAAGTACCTACCTACTTATTACCTTTGGTATTCGAGTAGTTATGGTTTACACCCATACTATAAAAATAAATTATAAACTGAAAAAAATATATAAACATTAGATAGTATTATTATGTTTTTTTACTTATTTACAACAACACTTTTTATAGTTGCGGGCTGCAATAATGCCGTTATCAGTTATCCAAGGAATTATTATTGTTAATATAAAAATAGATTTGAGAGAATATCATCCTAAAATAAACTTTTGAGAAATCTCCATCAAATTACAATGTATAAGGAAAAACATTTTACACGATTTCAAAGTTATAACTATGTTGGCTTAATAATAAAAAAAAGTTCATAAAAATGTACCACTCCACAAGTTCTACCAGGAGGGGCAATAGCCCACCCTGGCCCCCCTAAATACGGGCCTGTTATGACCTTACAACAGATTGGCAAAGGGCATAGCTTGACAACAGGATGGGTAAGATAGCCGGACCCAGTTAGAACGGTCACCACACTGAGTGAGTATATCAGAACTTGTATGAAGTTGTTGAACCGTTGAACACGTCCATGTCTCCAATAGAAGGGTTGAGTGGATTCTCGTATGATGGCGAGGGCCCAATGAGCAGCGGTGGACCTTGGTTAGTCTAGGTTAGGTAACCGGTTCCAGAAATGTTGATGAAGATAGGCAATAAGCCGCCACCACTGGAGTTTTGAAACCATGGTTTTCAAGTTTTGTTTTGGAAGTGATGTTGATGGTTTAAGAGCTAAAAAATTATTTGGAGTTAAATCCTATAAATCATTTTGGTCATTACTCATGGCTAGGGCTAGGGACTTATAGGAGCTTGCATGTTTTCTTATATTCATTCAAAACATGGCTTGGGTACTGACTTAGTGATATAAAAATCTGTTTAAGTGTTCCATAATACCCACGAGTTTGTAGAAATATGTTTTTGCACATTTAACTTTTTTCACGAGTTAGTGCATATTTCGCAGTGGCAGCCTAGGGTGCATGGTCTGCCCCTGCAACTTTTGAAAGGCGCCGATCAACCGATTTTTAAGTTAGACAAATGGTTACAACTTCTATTTAAAAAAAATTCTTTTATGTGGGTATCGTTAATCGTTATTAACTAGAATTAAACGTTTTACTAACTATTACTTAAAGTAACTAGGTATTTACTTAGATTATTAATTGTAAATAGATATTCAGACTTTTAAAAAAAGAGTATAAATTTATTATGAAATATTATAATTCATTTATCTGAGTGTGTAGTTGTATTATAGGATACGGGGTTGAGTTCGATGCTCGAAGTCACTGCGGCGTATATGATATATAATATATAATATTATTATGTGTTTTGGTTTGTATATTTAACACTTAGTATATTAAGATATATTTTCTCCTGAGTTCTATGTATGATATTGATGTGATTCGAACACAAATATTATATGATTTGGGACTTGACTACTATTGTATGCTCTCAAAATTCCTACATTCGTAGCAAGAGTACAAATAGTCAAATCTCCAACAATGAGCACTTATTATTATACATTTATTCTAAATAGACCATTTTATAACTGTGTAATACCTAATACTATAACTAGCCTATAATACAAAGATAGTTACAGAACCTTATACATACGAGTAATGAGATAGGTGAATCAATAATTAACAAGGTGGATTGATTCGATAATACGAGATAATTAATTTAGACAGTTATACCGACTGCTAGAATAACTCAATATACATACGTACTACATACATAAACGAAGGCGTTTTGAAATGCAAAAATAATGTCCAAGTGCATACTGGCGTCGACGTTGTGCATCGGACGATTCTGTATGATCCTTATACCTATTGAGTGATTTTTGTGTAATCCCTTCTTTTGATATGCATCGATTAATACGTAATGTTAAATTATTAACAATTAACAAAAGTATTATTGATATGTTTATGATATTTTTTATTTTGTGTGGTGTGACAAAGAAGCCACTGGTAATTTATTGTGTTTTTTTTTTACCGAATGTCTTAATCGTAGGATTTTTGAAGGGGTCTTATAGTATAATATAATATGAGTTACAAAAGTGTCGTCTGGCGCCGTTGATAATTGATTGTGTTGTTTTTACTAAATGAGAGGTGTTGCATATTATATTTTATGTGTTGCATGTGTCTCGTGTGTGTAAAATTGAATCACACCACATTCCATACGGCCCGTCACCACTGTCCACAGAAGTTAGGCAAAAAAAGTGGCTTTATTCGGAATAAATCAAACAAAAGGTTTTGATTGGTTTTTCGTTATAGTTTATAGGGTCTTTATGGTTCTCCCAAAAGTAACAGGTGATAACAAATCTGCTGAACTTTTAAGGATGGTGGGTGAAAATTGCTCAAAAATCAATGTTTCGCAATTATATCCTAAAATATTAACTGTACAACTAAAATATCTATATGTTAAATTAAAGCTGAGTACATTTTCTATAAAAAAGTATCTTTAGTTGTTAAGCCTACAATCAAAAGGTTTCAAAAAAAAAATTCAAGTAAAAATTAGTATTTATAATAATTTTTTTTTCGAGAGATATTTTTGAAAATCGTCGTTGTACCTACTCGTTAATTTATGAAAATAATTAATACATTTTAAATTTGATAAATTTAGTAGAAAATGTTTTAATTTAAATGATAATAAAAAAAAACATGGTGATGTATTTATAATAATTTTCATCTGCTATTGTAACAATATATCTGTAGGCTGGCATTGATTTTTCACGCTTTTTAACCCAACAAATAACATT